ATGTTAGGACTTTATAATATAACTTAATCATAAATTATATCATATATATAAATGCACTTAATTCAAACAAAACATAATTTTAGGACTTTATAATATAACTTAATCATAAATTATATCATATATATAAATGCACGACTAAGTCTAAGATGAATAATGCAACAACATACTTATGTACATAAGATGTATAACCTAAGACAAATCATGCAAATTAATCATGCATTATACTTAACATATAATTGGATAAAGATGTGACTATAGGTTATATTTAGACATATCATATAATATGTAAAACATAGTGAAAAGGAATGGAAACATGTTATGATAACTTAAGATGTAAGGTGTAATGCTAAGCATGATCATGACATAAATATAATAAATATGAATGACATGATATCCTAAGCATGTAATAGCATGGCAATGCATTCTTATGTAATAAAGTAATGTGTAAACAAAATAAAGATGAGTAAGGAAAGAATAATCTCCCTCTACTTTCATCCTCATTAAGATTAAACATGAAAACATTGTGAACAAAAGTGGGTGGTTGGTTAGGATCACATCATCCCCTCTTTTTTAAAGTGATTTATCCTCAAATCGAAGCCTTTCATCCAAGAGCAATTCTTTAACATTAGGGTGGATGAATCCTCACTTTTCTTGGTTAATGGAATGTCATCTTTATGATAGACAACTAGTTTGACCTGCAAGACACGAGAACAAAAATTTTCTTCGTTTTCATTAGAATAATCATCATTGACCATAGGTCAAGTCAAAAGACACTTCCTAATCAACTCATTGCTTGTTAAAGCATTCATGTTCTTTGTATCTTCCCCTCTTGGTTGCATGACTTTAATCTATTTTTTCATGGCTTCTATGCTTTTCTTCATTTTGATTTGATCATTATGCATATGTTTTGGAGTCAACGACGTAAGGGTGATCTTCTTTCCATCATGTTGGAATATGTAACTATTGGTGAAGCAGTCATAAATGATTCATTTTTCACAATACCAAGGCCTTCTGAGAAGTAGATGACTAGTATGGATGGGTACCACATCACATAAGAATTCATCCTTATACTTTTCAAAGGAGAATATAATAAATAATTGCTTGGTAACATTCAATTATCCTCTTTCATTTAGTCATTACAACTTGTAAGGATTATGGTGCTTCATAGTCTTCTACCCAATTTCTCAACCATGATAGTGTTTGTGACATTTATACAAATCCCCCAGTCAACAATCATAAAGCAGACTTTCCTATTGGCATGGCAACGAGTATGAAAAATGTTTTCACGACTTTTCTCTTCTCTCATTTGTGTATTTAAGATCCTTTGGACAACCAGGATTTCACCATCAATTTTTGTTTCCACTTCATCTTCTTCTTCATCGTTAAGTACTTCATTTCCTTCTTCTCGGATATATTCAACATCACCATTGTCTAATAGAAGCATTGTGTTTTTGTTTGGGCATTGACTTGCAATATGACTCCTACCACGATGCTTGAAACATTAGATGTCTCTTATGCGGTCATTAGTGGTCATTTGATTCCTTTTTCTTGGTTCTACAACATATAACTTTGGTTTGGATGATTTTGTAGTCTCCTTAATTTGGAATGGTGTGCAATTTTTATAATTGCTTTGGCTCCACTTAGAGGCGGTAGAGTTGCTACTCTTGGGCATGTTTCTTCTTTTGATTTGATGCTCAACCTTCATAGCCATGTGCACCATCTCATCTATTTCAACATTTTGTTGCAATTTCATAACATTGACTATATCCATATTAAGTCCTACTAAAAATCTTGCCATGGTGGCTTCACGGTCCTCTTCTACATTTGCTCTAATCATGGCAACCTCTATTTCCTTATAGTAGTCCTCCACGCTCCTATTGCATTGTCTTAAGGTTTTTAGACGTTGGAAGAGATCTCGGTGGTAGTGTGTTGGTATAGTCCTCCTTTTCCATGATTCCTTTCATTTTAAGCAAATTTGAGATAAACCTTTCTCCATTTCTTCTTCTATTAGAGCTTAGTTGATCCCACAAAACTAAGGCATAATCTATGAATTCAATGGTTGCAATCTTTACTTTCTTCTATTCAAATTAATTATGACAATCGAAAATGTGATCAACTTTACTTTACCAATCAAGATAGGCTTCCATATCAGTTTTTCCTTGAAAAGGTGGTATGGTGGCTTTGATGTTTCTTACGTTGACATACATTTGTGGATTTCCTCCTTGATATCTAGGAGTCATCCTTCTCGAACTTTGTTGAGATGCTTGTTCAACTTCTGCTTCATCATTATTTTCTTCCTCATACTCCTTAGGTCTTCTTCTTGTTTATATTGATTGTGTCTCCTAGGGCCTTGATTGCCTTAGTTGCCTTGAGAACCTTCAATTCAAACCATCCTTTCATGTATGAGCTCAAATTCCTCTCTAAGCAATCTAACAAACTCCCTCACCATAGCCTGCATTTGCAAATTAGGTTGTCCTCTTTCATTTGGATTATTACTGGAACCTCGAGATATGGTTAGTGAAATAAATAAAAAAAGTAAACCTCACTTGTCACTCCAAAAAAGGGTTAAATGTCACTCCACTACACTCGTGTTTACTCTCGGAAATGTATGGCTTTTTCTTTCACTTTTGAACTCACACGCTCTTTCTTTTTATCATTCCTTCTCTCCTGAAAGTTCTTTGAAGAATTAACTCAACAATTGTTCAAGTATGTTCGTTGGGAGTCGGATAGAAAGAAAATTTTAGGGTAGAAAGATATAATGCAATATATGTAGGTGTTATATTCAGGTTTTAGAACATTAATTTTAGTTGTTGTGGACTTTGATGACTGAAAAGGGTATATATATTAAAAAAGAAATTCAAATCAAGAAAAGAAGAAAAATATGATAAAGGGGGATTTATTGTTATATATTATTTAAAAATAAATTGCTTTAAGATTTTTTTAGGAGTTTAGATAGGTCAAGGCCCTGATTCTAAGCTTGTTCATGTTATTTGGGGACTAATTTTTGCAATTCTAAGCTTCTTGGTATCAAAAATCAACTTTAAGTACTGATACTTAGAATTGAGAATTGATACTCAACTATTCAATATCATATGTACTGTTTAGGGTAAATTTTGTTTATGTGGGATATAGTCCCTGATTCTTGGTTTCTTCAATTACTCCTCCAATTTAGATTATTTATTGGCCAAGTTTGAAACGTAATCTCATAAACAACTCTAGAAACTTTTGCCCTCAATTTTAGGCCTGTAAACGAACCGAACGCACACGAACGGAGGTATGTTCATATTCGTTCATTTAATAAATAAACGAACATAAACAAACACGAACATAAACGTACAATTTTTTTTTGTTCATATTCTCTCATATTCCTTTAGGTTATGATTTTAGACTCATTAGGATTACTCTCATTATTTCTCTTAGAATCTCATTTTCCTTCCTGTTTAGATAGGATTAGAATTATATTTAGAATTTATCGATAAAAAAATAAAAAAAGAAACTGTCCAAATATGAGACTTTATTTGGAGTAAGTGGTGACATTATGATTAGGGATGCAAAAATATACGGAAATATGATGGTTTTGACTCAATTTGATTTTATAAAATCGTTTAAAAAAAGTTCAAAATGAATTTTATGAAGGAAATAATTGAGGCCGAGATGGAATTGAGTTTCTCCCTGGATATTTAATACCATTGAGTATATGTTATTTAGCATATTTACAAAAATATCATTATATTCTATTTGAAGTTTTTAACTTGCTTTTCTTTTTTATCCTCCACGGATTTTCTTATTTGTCTTTTTTTCCCTTCATTTACTTGAGATTCTCGATGAACAAAGAGATTTCAGTCTTTGAAGTAAAGATAATTTATCGATTCTCGATAATTTATAAGAAAAAAATAATTTTCTGAATAAATTAATGGTAAAAATATTGATATAAATGTGAGTTTCACGATGGTTTAAGTTGAAGATGAATAAAATGATGATACAAAGACAAATTGCAAGGTTTCTATGGTGAAGAAGTTGATGATGATAGCGTCACAGTTTTTGCTTCCATAGAGCCAAGGGGCGGAGTCCTATTGGGGACTAAGGGCCTTCGCTCTGTAAGTTTTTTTTTTATGTTAAATAGATTAGTATTTTAGTTTATTTAAAAATAAATATTTAAATAAAAAATATATAAATTTACTAAATATTTAATTAAGTCGGGGCGAACTAAATAATGATAATTTAATGTTTTCAATTTTTTTTTTCTAATAATAATTTAGGTTATTGTAAGTTTAAATATTAGATAAATTAGACATTATCTTTTGAATTTTAAGTTTAAATACCTAATAGTTCATTGTATGTTTCTTGAAAAATTTAATATTTCGATCTCTGTCAATATCTAATCTTAGCTTCGTCCATGCATAGAGCACATATTCACCATCAAAACGACAACTCCACTGCCACTCTCTGAACAATGTATGTTTTCATGGCAATTTAAGTCAAACGATGATAAGTACACTAGTCGGATCCATAATTTTCTCTCTCGTTTACTAAAAATGAGTTTATCAAAGCGAGAACCGGATTGATTTAAAAGAGGGAACAGCATCAAAAGTCGAAATCAGATGAAAGTCACTAATATTTGGATTAGAATCGAGACGGTTGACAAACTTACCTTCCTGATATTCATCCTTAATTATAATCATGTTAATTAATAAAAGAATATGAACATAGTCTCCATTTTAAAATTAGTAGAAGAACCAAAACAATGATTTGTCCGTGAAAGAAAGGCACTGAATTTGGCATTAAAACTGATAGATTCTTCAAACACCGTAGAATCGTCCACAATAATTTCATTTAGTAATTACAAATCCGTGAACTGAAATCAAAGACAAAGGTGGCAATAAAACCAACCCTTTTCTTTCCCAGTTTCCAGCTTTGGGATTTGTCTGTTCTTAAGCCAGAAACAACAGAAAACAAGAAAGCTGCATGCCCAAATACACGCCATGTTAAATCTTTTGCGTTTAGTTCAGCACTGGGTACCTAACTGCGGCTGCTAGTAATATTTGCTGCTCTATCTGAACCATAACCGTCCATAGAAATCGTCAAAACTGATACTGTGATACATTAAATTGCCTTTTTTCTCCTACATGCAGAAAACCATTAAAATATACCTGGAAAAGCTCGTGTAATTTATTCTTGAGGATGCAATGCTCATGTTCCAAGACCTCCAAAGATCTCAGGCACCTGCATTTCAATTGCTTATTAATTTGAGTGATGGGAATTTGAAAAAAAAAGTAAATTCTCTAATACAATATATTATATACCCAGTACGATTGTTGTTATCGGAAGCCGCACGGAAGGCGACACAAATGTTTCTCACTCTTTGAGCACCTATGCTTGAACTGCTGCCTATGAACTGATTCAAGTGGATTCCAATTTTGTCGAAACTCAACAGCTCTCTATCCATCGTCCTGCATCCCATAGATTATATTATTTGTTGTTTTTCTTTTAAGATTCGATTCGAACAAAAGACGGGTAGATTGATTTACACTTACAGTAGTGATCTGAGGTTTCTCAAAAGCTTCTCAGATTCATGGAAGTATATGTTCACAACTTCTGACACGAAATTGGGAGAATTTTCATCTTGAAGCTGTTGAAGTTGTAAGAATTGCTCGTCCAGTATCCCCTTCAAACACACACCTCGCATCAGCCTTTTCTTTTCTTTTTTAAACCAAATGATTCGTCATATATATATATATATATACCTGGTGGAAGAGAAAAGCGAGCAAACGGTTCATGTCGGCTCGCAACTGGTCGGCGTCCAATCCCAACATCCACAATGGCAGACCCGTCTTGGATAGGCTTTCAAATCACCTTTTCTTCTGCCTTCAATAATCTTCACTGGGTTTAGGGTTTGAAGCGGGAATCTCACCTTCTCCACCACTATTTATACTCTCAGACCTTAGCTTCCACCCAGCTATTATAACGGTAAACTATTAGCCAAACATTATTCAAATATCCACTCCCCACTCACAATACTAAGGGGCAAACTCAAAATTTTGTATTAAGAGTACGCGTGATTATTTAATTGAGTCAATTCAAGCTATAAGATTTCAAATCTTATGTTATTAATTTAAATTTTATTTTAAAAAATTTCGAATCAAATTTATAATATTCTTGTTAAGTTATTCGAAATTATATTTAAATTTAATTATAAATATTTTAAGTTTATTTAAGAAAATAATATCATCTTGATAAAAAGGTATCATATAAGTTGTGCTTTTTATAAGGATTTTTTGGTAATACATTTAAAGAAAAAATCATATCTAAAATAGTTTGAGAATTGTGAATCTCGTAACCAAAATTTATTGATTTTAAATTATCAAATATATGTCTTAAATTTAATCATACTAAACTCAACACGTCAGTCAAAGTTAATTTTAGATATTATGATCTCAAATATTTTAGAAGACAATAAATATCTATGACTATCGTATTGACATGAATCTGATTAAATCCAAGATTTGCCTTTTGACAAATTAAAGTTGATAAATTTTGTCCCTTAGAATCACAAATATCACAATATTTAGATATACATTTTATAAATATTTAAATATAATATTTTAAACATGTATTTATTAAATGATCAAATATAAAATATATACACACATATCATTGTTGTTTGGTTGGTGTGCTCATGTAAATATATGTCTTTGATGTGTACTACAAAATTTATTCAGTAGTGGATGTATGTATACATGTCCACCTGAAAATCTAAATTTATTTGTATTTATTTTTATTTTATTGATGGTATCAAACCTGAAATTTTATTGGTGATTATATCATATAAAAAATTTCTACTATAATTAGAAATGTGCTCAACTTAAAAAATATTTTTGGATCCTATGAATTTATTTTTTAATAAAATTTATATAATTTTTTAATATTTTTAATTTATTACCCACACTTTTTTTATTATAATCTTTATAAAAAGATGACTTATATGACACGTCTTTGTAAGAAAATATTATTTTAAAAATATTTTATAAGATAGTTAACCTAAATAGATTTAAAATAAATATTATTCCCATAATATCCCCGAAATATGAGAGTCTAAATGCTGGGGATCAATTTTCATTTGAATTTGTTTGTGACTCGAACATACCTTTGTTTAAAGAGTGTGGAGAACACGTGCTGGACAAGAGAGTGAGAAAAGGATAGGGAGAGGGCGTGCACATTAGGGTCGGCAAAACTTTCGAGATAATGTTCTGAAAGAAATTAATTCACGAGCTAAAGTACTCCCAAGATTAATTGCTCAAATAAGGTGAAATCCACAGTGTTGGCCGTAGGTCGCCATGCCTTCCGGGTGACCTACTAGGTCGCCATGTCTTCCCGGCGAGCTACAAGAGATTGCATGTGACATGCACGTCCCAACACGCTGGGCATCCGAGGCCATCCGACCAAGGCCATCCGACCGAGGCCATCCGAACGAGCTATGCGAGGGCAACCGAGCGAGCTATAAGAGGGAATCCGAGGGAAGCCGAGCGAGGGTAGATCGCCCGGAGTGCATGGCGACCTACAAGGTCGCCCGGAGGGCATGACGACCTATGTGTTGGGACGTGCATGCGCCATGCAACACGTTCATTCTCATGTTCATTCTCTCTGTTTGAGTAAGGGTAGGTCGCCCGGAATGCATGGCGGGAGTGCATGACGACCTACAAGGTCGCCCGGAGTGCATGGCAACCTACGGCCAACACTGTGAATTTCACCCTATTTAAACAATTAATCTTGAAAGTGCATTAGCTCGTGAATTAATTTCTTTCAGAATATTATCTCTAAAGTTTTGCCGTCTAATCGAGGTGAATGTGGGTTATAAACCTGACCAGTAGACAAATATTACAGACTATAAATAAAGTTACTACCTGCTGCCCCCGTAACCAGTCACCTCGCGTGCTGTCTGTTATGCCAGGTTAGTGCGGCGTTCTCCTCACTCCCGCCCGACAACTGCCTGCTGCCGGTAACTTGTCAGTCACCTCTTCTCCTCTTACCCCCAAAACAATTAAACAACCAAAATAAATTATGTAATTATTATAATAATTAAAATATGAAATCTTATTTTGTTATTTTTTTATTATTAACACTATTAAAATTTTATGTTCATTTTATTGATATAATATTTAAAAAAACATTAACTTATAGTCATGTGACAAAAAATAGTATTACAATTTATCAGAATTTAGAAGTGAAATATTAATTCTCTTAAAAATAAAAAATAAGAATAAAAAATATTATGAGAAATTATGAGACAAAAAAGTACGCTAACTCAAAGAAAAAAAACAATAACATATATTATGTTAAAATTTACAATACATATCATATGATAATATTTTCATATGCATTGAAAATTATGAGATAAATTATCCACTGTCGTAATTTTTTTTATAAACATAAAATTATATATTATGATACTATATATTGATAGCAATTTTTTTAAATTATGCACGTCAACATGTATTGTTTAAATATTTTCATTTGTTTTAAATATAATTAAAAATATTTATGCTGCTATTTTTTATCTCTTTTAATTCTCTAATAAAATTAATTTGGAAAAACATTTAATCTTATAAATACCATATTAACAGAATTTAAAAAATATTTTAAATCCAGTAAATAAAAAGTTGTTAAAATTATACAAACATGAATGTCACCATAAAACAAACAAATTAAATATTTACTCGCCCCGATCTTCAGACATGCCACTACCAAAACAGACAAACATCCTGCCCTGACGGCCTTTTTATCTTGTATGTTTTTAATTTTCTTTTATTTTCTATCTCTTTCTCGAGAAAATTGTTTTATTTTACGGCCAGCTCGCAGCCTGCATCGTAGTTTAGGGAGGAAGGACAAAGAGAGTTACATCTACTTGATGGTAAAAGTTAAGGTAATACCCTCAAGAGGTTGTCTTGTAGGATCGGATTCTTTAGTCTGACCTTGAGAGGACCTACGTTATCAAAAAAAAAAGTTCAGGTAATATCACTCATCTAAAATGAAAATATTAACCATAATAATGAAAATGATATGATTATTGTAACACCCACATACCGATGCGGGTGAACCGATCCGATCCGAGGTGTTATATTAGGGTCACTAGAGCGACCCACAATAAAAATCTGGGAAAATTAAAATCTCTATTAAAACGTGTAAAATCATAAAATAATTTATAAATAAATACAAGTTCCAGACTCGGTATAACAATTAAACGTGACCTACATGCTCCCTAATTACACGTGTACCGTACTCTGCAGGCAAAGCAGGAGGGAGCTCCCTATACTGAAGTTGATGGCTGAATTGGATCAATTCTTTTAACCTGAAATGGAGAGTAAAAGAATGAGCCTTGGGAAGCTCATTAATACAAAACCACCAAGAGATGCTGAAGGACATACAGATAATAGGCAAACATAAAAAATGTCCTTATTTATTCAGGTATCTACAGGTTTTCAGGATGAGTTGTGGTTCCACTGATATTTCTTCGAGTAAAAGACATGAAGATTTCAGCTCAGAGGAAACATTCAGAGGACCAAGTTTTCTGGAGATCGAAATAGGATCTCTAGTGTGTTCCACAAAACAAAGTAACATATATAAATCCTTTAAAAACGTTTGTAGTTTACAACGTATTTTAAAAACCATGGTAATACCCTCCAATCGAACACTGTCATACAGTTCCCCAGAATTGCGTCCATAAGGACTTTTCATAAGCACACAGCAGAGGAGTCACCCTAAGGGAGTACCTTGGGGCCTATGTGTGTTGAAAATATTTTGATGTTTCGATATAACAAATTAAGTGTTATTGAATTTTAAGATTTTATAATCATTTTTAAAGTATATTCGATTAAGTTATTCGAATATCAAAATATTACTTCAAGTTTTTTAAAGGTCAATTTCAATCCTTACTAAAGTGTAAAATTGTGTTTTGAACTTAAAATATTTTTGAAACAATTTTTACAAAGTATTTCGATCCATAATCGAGCCAAAAATCAATTTTAAGAAGGGATGTACCATGCACTATTTGATGTATCGATGTACACCCTATTTCGAATGCATTTTATGTACTGATGCACATCTATGCATCGATGCACTCTTGAGTTTATTGAAACATCGAATGGATTTTATGTACCAATGCACATACCATGCATCGATGCACTCTTGAGTTTATTGAAACATCGAATGGATTTTATGTACCAATGCACATACCATGCATCGATGTACTCCTGGCTCTTTTGAAACATCGAATGTAATTAGTGTACCAATGCACCCCAAGTGTACTGATGCACTAGGTCTTATAACGGTCGAAATATTTGAATTTTATGCATAGTGTACCGATGCACCCTTAAGGTGTACCGATGCACCTACGCTCCCAACCAGTTTTTTAAATGATAATTACACAATAACGACTCTATTGACTTCACCAATGATTCCCAATGTTTAAAAGTAATTCAAGGTGTATTTAAACAAGCTGAGGAGCCATTGATCAACAATAATTGTGAAAGAATCAAAGAGAAAGCCTTGAACTTATCGTTTGAGCATTTTCAAGCCTATTTTCCATTCAATATTCATTTTGCTTTCAAGAACACCCTTTGTACTCAATTGTATTATTTTTAGTGTTCTTTCTTTGTTCTAGAATTGTGCAAACAATTTACCTTGTGAGGTTTTTCTGTAAGTTTGCGAAATTTGTATTCTTCTCTTTAGGAGAGAGTGTTCTCAAGAATTTGGGGTATAATTCTTGAGGGAGTTGTAAGGTTACTCTTTGTCCTCAAAATAAAGAACAAATTAGTGA